AGTAATGCGGAAGACTTAAACTCATTAAATAAGACCAATTCATTAACTTCTAAAAATTCAACATCTATTATTCCCCAAAATCTGGAAGTCATCATCACAAGAACATCTACGATCAAACGACTAAACTAAGAGTATTCTAAAAGCTAAAAATACATAAGAAGCTAGTCCATGCCGGAAGTTCAAGGCATCAAGACTTGAAGAAGAAGATCCAGTCCAAGCTAGAAGCATTAGCTCACCCTGAATTTCCGATGTAGTAAGACTGGCTTGAATTACTGTTGAGTTGAAGACGATGGCACGTTTGCTGCACTCCACAAATAAACAAGAAGAGAACATAAAAGTAAGGGTCAGTACAAAACACGGGTACTGAGTAGATATTATCGGCCAACTCAAAATAGAAATCAATATATGCCAAGTAATATCATTAAATCAACTATGATACTCAACATGTAGCAACAACAAATACTATATCGTTAACAATTACCGTCAAGTTCACACATGAGGACTCAAGCCTCGATACCATACTCATTTGGGAATCATGTTCATTAGATTGAGTATATTAACATCTTTCAAGATTCATTATCTTTATTTCTCTTGTGTCAGTACGTGACACTCCGCTCCCTCAATATTCATTAATCCTCTTGTGTCGGTACGTGACACTCCGATCCCCTAAATCTATGTGTCAGTTCGTGACACCCGATCCCCTAAATCTATGTGTCGGTTCGTGACACCCGATTCCCTAAATCTACGTGTCAGTTCGTGACACCCGATCCCCTAATACTACGTGTCGATTCATGACACTCGATCCCCTAATTCTACGTGTCGGTTCGTGACACCCGATCCCCTAATTCTACGTGTCAGTTCGTGACACCCAATCCCCTAATTCTACATGTCGGTTCGTGACACCCGATCCCCTAATTGTACGTGTCGGTTCGTGACACCCGATCCCCTAATCTCCTTCCATCAATTCATCAAGCCTTCTTTCTTACTAAGGCATCATCAATCTCATTACTTTAGTTCATCAAGCCTTCTCCCTTACCAAGGCATCATCATTAAAAAGAGATTAGGTTTTTATCAAGATTTGGGATTCAATAACTTCATCATGCTTAATATAATCACAATTATATAATCACGTTCATGCATGCATACAATTAAGCACATGGCAGGGTTTACAATACTACCAATACATATCATTCTCTATTAAGAGTTTACTATGAAAGCATGAAAACCATAACCAACCTCCACCGAAGATTCGTGATCAAGCAAGCAAATTTTCCCAAAGCTTTGTGTTTTTCCCCTTCTCGGTCGTCTCTCTCTCTATCGATTCCCTTCTCTCTCTTTTTCTTGTTCTTTCTATTTTCTTTATTCAAACCCTCTTTCTTTTACCCTAATTAGTATATAATTAAGAATAAAAGATGAACAATAATAGCCCACTAATTAACTTAAGGTTACCTCTTTTATCCCCCAAGAAATTGAGTTATTAATATAGATCCACGAAATATATAATTATAGCAGGAATAGTCCAAAACGCCCCTTTAAAACTTAACCAGAATTCCGACTTCCACTGGGAGTACGCAACCTGTGACGTCCCGTCGCGCTCGCGACGGTCCGTCATGCAGGTTCGTCAGAGACTCGATTTCCTTAAGGAGTCTGTGACGGCTCGTCGTACCTACGACGGTCCGTCCTGCACTTTCGTCACGACGTTCAGAGAATCGTTTCCTGTACCAAATTCTCAAGAGTTGAAGTGTTTTGAAACGGTGGATCACGACGGTTCGTCGTGCCTGTGACGGTCCGTCCTGCGGGTCCGTCACAGAGTTCAGAGAGTCGATTTCAGCACCCAAATTTCAGAATTTCTAAGTGTTTTGGGACGAGACACCCTCGACGGTCCGTCGTGCCCATGACGTTCCGTCGTGGGTTCTGTCGTCTCAGCCTGTTTTTCCAGAAATAAAATCTGCTGCTCAAAACGACTAAACAGGTCAGGCTAGGCTAGCCCATTTTTTGTATGGGCCAGAAAATGATCGACTCAACCCACAAGTACGTGGGCTACAGGCTTGTCGGGCCAGCCCACTTTTTAAATTTTTTTATAATTATTAATTTAAATTATAAATTATGATTTAAAAATATTATCATAAATATCGACAAAACAATATTATATTATGTTATGCCTCATTTGTTTGCACTTAATGTGGCTTGAATCTTAATCATTCAGAGTATTTGTTTTTAAGAACTGAATCTTAATTATTCAGATTCAATTCATTAAGTTCATCTGTTTTATTTTCTTGTAAGCCTCTTAATAGGTCTGGATAGATCTGAATGAATCAGATCTCTAACACACCCTTAACACTATCATACTTAAAAATAAGACTCTTATCTTAATTCAACTAAATCACAACAATTCTTAAAAGTTATTTTCTTATTTAATTAGTATTTAATTACATGCTTGCCATAATAATTTTCCTTTATTCATATTAACTAATATACATTTTTTACTTTAAAAAATTAATCAATATATTTTAATTGATAAGTACTCCATGATATAATATTTAGTACGGTTTCAAAAAATAAGAAAGTATTAGTGATTTGACCGATAACAATAATAAATTTCTAAAATAAAACAAAATAATTTCCTAAACTATATATTTACTACTCTATATAAACTATTTGAAATTGCATTATGTTATATTCTCAAAGTATTTGAGTGCAAAAAATAATCATATTAATGATGTAACTTGATGTTGAGTTCTTGAAAGATAAATCATATTACCTTGTTACGGTAAAAAAAAAGTTCAAAATATTATTTTATATGAAAAAAACTATTTTACTACCAAGGTTTTGATAATATTTTATTGATATAACGTTTAATTTCAATTGTGCATTCATATATTGAAAACAAACTGTCCTAATAATTTAGTGTTCAGATTCAAAGACAATATTTTAATATTCAGATTTACACATCTAGATCTTAATGCACATTTTAATATTTAAATGCGTATTCAAATTCAAATTCAAATTCAAATTCAGACGTCTTAATCTTAATATAAACAAATGAGACCTTAATATCACTACTTGTTAATCAAATTCACAAATAAAATTATATTTATAATATTTAGGAAAAATGCACAAGTAACCCCTAGACTATGACCGAAATTCCAAAGATACACCCTACTAAGGTCGTATTACCCCCCTAAACTTATTTTTTTTTGTAATTTTGTGCACCTCTTTGACTTCGAGAGTAGAGTTACAGGAAAAGCCGTCTGATGGAAAACTACTTTCACGTTCGGTTCAGAGAGCACTTTATATCGCGAAAAAGAGCTGCTCTAGCTTTAGCGCGCACCCTTTCTCCTATGAGGAAAGTTACTCTTTCCGATTCATGTCTGGCCCTTCCTGGGTCTGGATCTCCGACGCGCCTCAATTGCGTGGAGTCACATAGAGTGCCACATAAGACTAAAGGTGTATAAAATTACAAAAAAAAAAGTTTAGGGGGTAATAGGACCTTAGTTTAGTTAAGGTGTGTCTCTGTGATTTTTGTCATAGTCTAGGGGGTACTTGTGCATTTTTCTTGATATTTATTAAATTTTTTTCAACTAAAAGTATAAATGTCTAAATAGAAATATTAACCTAATTGTTTTGATTTTGGACTCTCTTTATTTTTAAATTTTAATATTATATTATATTTTTTAACTAATTTTTATTGGCCCACAGGCCGGCCCTATCAATATTTCTCAAGCCTCTCAAATCAGCAGGCTTATTCATGCCGGGCTAAAAACCCTTTTCTTTAATGGGCTCTAAAAGTCTTAGCCCACCCCTATTAAATCCCGGGTTAGGCCAGGCCAGCCCAACGACGCCTAGTCCATATTGACGGCTCTAGTTTTAATGCAAACACAAGATAATGTGGGAAACAATGAATCAAACACTTGGTAAAAATTATTCTTGCATTACTAATGTTGCACTATTAATCCCTGCATTAATAATCCCAGCATTACTAATCCTTGCATTATTAATTTTTGTATCAAACGACCCCTAAATTCATACTAAACATAATACTAAATAATACCACACATAATACTTGAACTATTTCTTCTAATATTTTCTACCAAACGAACCCTAATTGTCATAATTCATATTTTTAACAAGGAAAAAGGGTCAAAAATATCCTTATACTATTTGAAAAGGTCCAAAACACCCCTTATCCACCTATTGAGTTAAAAATATCCCTCATCACCTATTTGGTCTATTTCTACCCTTAAAACTGACAATCTCTTAAATATGCATATATTATTATTATCACTTATTAGGTGTCATTTTCGTGTCTTCTAAATGAGTTTGGTTCATGGACATTAAAATGGGTGGGTACAAAAATTAAATGGGTTGGGATTTAATTTATCCGCTAAAAAATTGACACCTAATAAGTGATAATAATAATATATATATATTTAAAAGGTTGTTAGTTTTAAGGATAGAAATAGACCAAATAGATGAATTGAGGGGTATTTTTGTAGGTGAATGAAGGATATTTTTGAATCTTTTCATATAGTATAGGGGGTATTTATAACCCTTTTCTGTTTTAACAATATCAAGTTTAAAAAATATCATGCCAAAAGTGAATTAATTCAACATTATTATTTAATTTAAAGTGTTTTATACTTTAATTTTAACTTCATTTTATCATTATTTGCATTGTAAAATCATTCAATCAAAGTAGAAAAAGTCGAATCGAACATCCCGCCTGTACTACTATATATTAGCTATGAAAATCTATAATAAAAACATATACACATGGAATCATGTAGGCGTCACTAATAAAAATTATAACATAATAATTAACTGTACAAAAACAAATATATATATATATATATATAAAGTTGAATTGTATGAATAAATATATCAAAAAAGTATAACGAAAGACCCTTTTTTTAAAATTTAAAAACAAATATAAATAAAAAATGTGAAACACATCATTATCTGATTTGAAGATGTTATATACTTTAATTTTAACTTCACTTTATTCTTATTCGTAGAAGCGAGTCGAACCGAACACCCCACCCGTAGTACTATATATGTTAGCTACTAGAGAGTTATAATCTTGAATTGCACAAAAATCATCATGTTCAAACTTTGTTCACCTTTATTCCTCATCGTTCTCCTTTCCGTCCTTACCAATGGAAACTGTCATGAATTTTCCAGAATATTATCGAAGAAAGCAATGGGTCTAAAAAGAGAGAAACTTAGCCACCTTCACTTCTACTTCCATGATATAGTCAGTGGAAAAAACCCAACCGCCGTGAGAATAGCGGAAGCCGCCGTGACCAACCGGTCAGCCACCGGATTTGGTTTAACGGCAATGATTGACGATCCTTTAACAGTTGGACCAGAATCAAATTCAAAAATTGTTGGAAGAGCCCAAGGGATTTATGCACAAGCTTCGATAAATGATGTTGGTTTATTGATGGTACTCAACTTTGTTTTTATTGAAGGAAAGTATAATGGGAGTAGCTTAAGTATTTTGGGACGGAATTCGGTGGCGTCGATTGTACGGGAAATGCCTATTGTTGGGGGAAGTGGACTTTTCCGATTTGCTCGCGGTTACGTTCAGGCGAAGACTCATAATTTTGATTTGAAAACTGGTGATGCTGTTGTGGAATACAATGTCTATGTCTTCCATTATTGATTTCTTTGCTTTATGTGGTTGTACTTTTTTTGTCTTTTTGCCTCTGTTTTCATGGAATATTGCTGAAAAGAAACACAGTTTTAGTTGGCATATTTGAATTTTGGCATGGACCACTAGTAGAAAAATGAAGGTTTACTTTATTTCTTTTTTAAAGAGAAATCAAGTTGAATACTTTTTCTTATGGTGAATTGATTTTTTTTTTGAATTTGAAATTTGTCATTAATAAAGGAATAATTTTTTTCATAGCATTGTATCCGACTAAAAACACTTTTTTTTTAAATAATAAAGGAATTATTTTATTTATTACACTGTATTCTCTTTACTACCACTAAAAACACTTTAAACGATAAACATCTTCTTTTATCGAAATTTTTATATTTCATCTATTCAATTTTATATGACATGTTTTAATTTTTACACCATGTTTAAAAACAAGAGTTTTTTTTTAAAAAAAATACCTGTGATTTTTTATTATAAATTATTTCATTTACATCCTAAAATTGAATTGTTTCTAATTATAATAAAATGAAATTCTTTTTGGAAAAAAACCAAAAGAAGGAGAGAGTGTATTAGTTACGAGTGACTTCATTATTTGTTTCATATTTGAATTATTTATTAGAGTGATAGCTGTATTGACATTTGTTAGTTATTTTTCCGCTAAATTCTTTTTTTAGATGAGAAATTTTACGAGGTTAACTTAAAATATGATTCATTTTCAAATTTCGCTTTACTTTTACTTCAAACACCACCTCTTACTTGGGGTGTTCATAGTAAAACCAAAATAGAAAATTAAATCAAAGAAAAAATTTAACACTTTCTTATTTTGATTTTATAGATATGTAATGTTTGATCGAATTTAAAATTTTACTTAATTTTTAGTGCTTAAATATATATCTTCTAATATCTAAATTAAATATTTTAATTTTTTCTCATTTTAATAAGTTTATTTTGAAATATTAGGAAACTACAAAATTAGAATCACATTTTAAGACAAGTATTTTTTATTTTTTTTAACCATTTTATTAAAGAAAGAAAAAGTTACAAAAAGAATGTCTTTCTTTTAATTTAAATTTTGATATATAAACTAATGATATTAGTATATCTATTAGTTGCATTTTGTTTTTGGGCTAATCATTTAATTTTTCTATATTTTATAAGTAATTAATTTCTATATTTATCATTATTTATATTTTCATCTTTCAAAAATAAAAATAGAAAATAAATAAATATAAAATTAATAATAATGATAAACAAAGACCTAAACTACCTAAAACATTAACCTGCACTACCATCCCCACTAACTACACAATATTATTTTAAATTTATAATTTCAATTTTATTAATTCTAATTCATAGCAATCACTTTTGCTATTCGTCTCTTTCCCATATATGTCTCTTGTCTATTATTTTATACAAATATAAATATATAAATTATGTTTGTATTTGTATAAAATGAAAGAAAATTGTATATACAAATACATCTCTTCGTCTTATGCACTTATAATTATATATTACAAATCTTTCCTTACCCAGTTCTCTTTTATCTTTCTCGCTTTATACAAGCACAAATTATACAAAATACAATGTAAATTTAGTGTTTGCATAAAGCGAGAGAGATTTGATATATAAATACAACAAACATCCCCATAAACAAACACAATGTTCATAGATAGATGCTCAATTTATACAAATCAAATGGCTGCGACTTTCTACAAATTAAAGCTGCCTACAATTTTTAAATAGATCTGATGTTCCATAACAAACATAAATTTTGCTATAGAGCGCAATTATGCAAATTATAACTATAGCATACAAATATAATTTTATATGTGTCAAATATATTTTTATTTATTTAAATAAATTTTGAAGTGTTGATAAACGTGTCATTGTCTCATCGATCTATCCAACATTATTCAACTTTTACTCAAAAATTAAATTGTCTTTGACTCGGATAACTCAAAACATCTGACCCAAATTATAACCCACAACTCACGAGTATCCTGACACAAATGAAAAAAAAGGGAATGCAACCCTTCTCTATTTCATGTTTTCCTCACTTCTTCTTCAATGGCTTCTTTTACCGTTGTCGTCTCTCGTATCCTTCTCGTCTTCTTCGCTTTTCATTATATATATATTAGCATAACTCGAAAATTCATTGGTTACTACGTCAAATTCCGTCTCTTCTCATCCACAACTGGAGCATCTACTGCTGCTCCACCAGGTCGTCGACGACGATAGCGGGAGCGAAGGACATGGCTAAAACTTCAAGCTTATCGCGAAGATACTCAACGAGTTTATGAACGTCGACGAGGGTTAAGTTGGAGATTTCATATCCGAGCTAAACTACCTTTTTCGGTTGTAGGAAAACTTAGAAGAAACAATGAAGGCTGATGGGGAAATGTTTTGAGTTAATTTTATTGAACAAGAAGCAACTATTTTTCCTAATACAAAATGGAAGAAACTCTAAAATAATCTAGAGAGCTGACCAACTTTGCACACCTATACAAATTTTAGAAGAAGCATATAAGAATTGAATCTCATGCTATGTACAAAAGACCATGAAATGTAATGAGTATGAGTGAATGGATTTTCTTGATTGACAATGTTGATCTGAATGTTGGGTCTTGAATATTGGGCCGAATTTGACTATAGAGACAGCTCCTGCGACCTGTTTGTCTTCATTCTTCAGATGAGACTTGAATTTATGGACTGTGACATGGGCCTGCTTTTCATGACTGCAACCTGAGCCTGATTTTTTATCATCATTCCAATATCGATGCTTTGACAATGGCAAGAGGGCGAACAAAAGTTGATCAGCGACGGTCGAATTTGTAAATGTGAATGGGGAGTTCTAGGATTTTAGTGGGGAATGAAATTGAAGATTTTAATTAATTACTTGTGGAGGGTGGAGCTCGTTCAGGCTTTGCAGGATCACTTTCTATTGACAATGTCTTGAAAAATGAAAATTTGGGCAGAAGTTCTTGAGAAGATCGAAGAAGTCGACATAAGATGAAGAAGTGTTTTGGGTTATAATTTGGGGTGAGTACTATGTTATTTGGGTGAATTTTAAAATTAATTTGGGTGGGTCTTTAAATTATGAATTGAAATTTAATAAATTTTTGATTGGTGTTTTAGATCGAGATACGTGTCCTACCATTAGTACAAAAGATATATAAATTCCAAGACGGTAAAAAAGATATATACATTCCAAGACGGTAAAAACATCCGAGTTCTGAAAGTACACCAAATAATACTTAGATAGCATTTATGATAGTTGAAACTATATTTATCTCCCCTCCCCAAAAAAAAACTACAACAACAATCTGCACGAAAAAAGAAAAAAGAATTCTATCACCTATACTACAACAAACATCAACCCACATACGTAAAAAGAAAGGAAAAATGTACAAGTATCCCTTCAATCTATGTTCGAAATTTCAGAAGCATATTTATATTATACTAAGATCCTATTATCCCTGAACTTATTTTATAAGTAATTTTTTATTTCTTTTCGGCCTACGTGACACTAGCTTGAAAAAAAAGTCAACCAGCATTTGACCCACAAGATAGTGCCACATATGACGAAAAGGGGTAGAAAATTATTAATAAAATAAGTTTAGGGGATAATAGGACCTTAATATAGTATAAGTATGTCTCTGAGATTTCGAATATAGGTTAAGGACGTACTTGTACATTATTCCTAAAAAGAAAAAAAAAACAAAAAACAAATACACACTTAATGGAAATAGTCCCAAAAAGAAAAGAGAAAGGAAAATAAGGCGGTTTTTAAGTTTTACTTCCATAATTTTGAATTTGTGATTCTTAATTGTAATCTTTTCTTTCATGATAACAATTTTCACAAGAAGTAATATTTTTGTATAATTTTATTCATGATTTTGTAAAGCTTGATTCCAATTTCCAATACATTAAAGTTGTTCAGATTGTGTATATGTTGAGTTCATTATTCTTTAATGTTATAATACTAAAATATATTTAAACGTGTTATATCATTAAATTTAGAGTATATATATTGCCATAACAAGTAATTATTTCTTGCATGCTTAAAAGTTCAATTTGCACCTTGTTCTTGATTAAAGTACAAAACTTAATATTCTACATGTAATTTCTAATATTTAGATGAAATTTAGTTCTAATAAATTAAGTTACTTTTTCATTTTGTATACTTAATACAATTGTCATTTTTCGTAATTTAATTTTCAAAAACACTTTTAAACAAATATTTGTCAAACAAAATTTGCTTATAAAAAATACTTTTTAAATGAATTAGTCAAATACAAATTTCTTATTTCAAAAACTATTTTAAATAAATATTTTTGAAAATAAGTAGTTATTAATAACAAAACCAAACAAACTCTCAATTGGTTACAGGTAAGTTCAAGTCTGCTTTAGTGTGTCCGTCAATTAAGAGATATAATCTAATTTTTCTATTTTAAATATAATTTCAAATTGGTTATAATACATTTCAATGATTTATTTTTTTCATGTATACAAACATTTAAAAATGAAAATGATAAAAAATAGTATTGAACGATATAATAAAATTCATGAAAGAATTATTATACCTATAATGTTAATGAACTTAAATAATACTCCTAATTTATAAATATCTAAAATAAAAAATAAAATATTATATATTATAAGTGTAAATGTTGAGAAGCTAGGTGTCAGCGAGTGAGCTAATCAATTGATCGGTTTTTCATTCTTCTTAACTTCCTTTATTTATATTCCGTATTTTATTTGTTTTAATTTATTTTTATTTAATATTTTCTTTATATGTTATGTATTTACAAAAATAGTATAAAAAATCAACTTAAAAGATTATAAATTTTGTTATTCTCAAAATTGGTACTGGATAATTGAGACATGGGAATAACATATGTTATTTGAAAATTACATCAAGAGTACCATAAATCACAATAATTAACAACTTATAATAATTTAAAAAAACATATTAAAATTGTGAATAACTATCAAAATTTCACGCATGCCACGTAAATGGGAACAATGGAGTAACATAGATCATTTGAAAGTTACATAAAGAGTACTATTAAATATTAATGACAACTTAAAGTATTCAAAAACATATTAAAAATTTGATTAACTCTCAACATTTAACACGTGCCACATAAATTGGGATACGAGAAATAGCATATGTTATTTTAAAATTATATACTTAAGCTATATATATATATATATATATATATATATATATATTAATTAAATTCACTATATATTATAAATGTGAATGTTGAGAAGCTAAGTGTCAGCGAGTCAGCAATTGACCGGTTCCCATTCTTCTCAACTTCCTTTATTTATATTCCATTTTATTTGTTTTAATTTATTTTTATTTTAATATTTTCTTTATATGTTATGTATTTACAAAAATAGTATAAAAAATCAACTTAAAAGATTATAAATTTTGTTATTCTCAAAATTGGTACTGGATAATTGAGACATGGGAATAACATATGTTATTTGAAAATTACATCAAGAGTACCATAAATCACAATAATTAACAACTTATAATAATTTAAAAAAACATATTAAAATTGTGAATAACTATCAAAATTTCACGCATGCCACGTAAATGGGAACAATGGAGTAACATAGATCATTTGAAAGTTACATAAAGAGTACTATTAAATATTAATGACAACTTAAAGTATTCAAAAACATATTAAAAATTTGATTAACTCTCAACATTTAACACGTGCCACATAAATTGGGATACGAGAAATAGCATATGTTATTTTAAAATTATATACTTAAGCTATATATATATATATATATATATATATATATATATTAATTAAAATTGATCAACTCTAAAATATTCCCATGTACCACATAAATTACAATAATTAATAACTTAAAATATTTTTAAAAATATATAAAAAATTCATTAACTCTCAAAATATCACCTATGTAAGCCACAATATTATTAGAAAAGTACGAAAAATGTAATAGAAATAATTAACAACAAAAATATTTAAAAATTTAACTAAATCTTCTAATTTTATGTGTATCATATAAATTAAAGGATAAACTACCTTATTAAACATATATCACTACTATATATTATATTAATTTTACTTTCAAACAATTACATATATTATCACTTTTAGTATTTTATATCATATATTAATATATTATTTGAAGATACAATTAGATACTCACACCCCTTAAAATTAGGATTGATTGATTAACTGATTAATTAACTATTTCACTCCAAATCAACCCCTATCTCTTAATTCTCCCATCCCATATTTATCACTCAATTATATCTCATCCTTTTTTATTCAAGAATTTCATCGTACAATTTCATTCCAACAATAACTACTCTACTATCTTCTTCTCTAGATATCATCACCATGACTGACAAATTCTCCTGAACCCAAATATTATTATGTATTGTTAATTTATAACGAGATCAAATCAAAGTAACTGCTACAGAAAACTTTCAATTCAGAGTGGATCTTGATTGTTTTTCATTTATAACGAGATCAAATTAAAGTAATTGCTACATAGAAAACTTTCAATTCAGAGTGAGTCTTGATTGATTTTTATCCGGAAGAAATGGACCTTATTTTTAATTATGTTATGCCACAACACAAATGTTACAAAGGAGTATCGTAGCGAGTCTTTGTTTGCTAGTGTTCTTCTAAGGCATTCTTTCGTTATTGTGACATGGGTGTGGTAATACTAATATTACTTTGATATAGCTCTTGAAACATGTTTATCTAATAAGTAGTAATCTTAATTAAGATTTGAGTTGTATTTTTAGTGATGAGGTATCTGAACATGTATATGTATCCACCATTAAATTTCGGATACATGATTTTTAACTACACAATGATATTAATGATACGACAGATACTCTACCGTCGTGATTTGTTCCTAAATTCATGTGTTTCACCTACATTTCATATTTCAGTACACATAATTAAATGTATATTATTATGTATTCTAGATACATATTTTGGATATAACGTATGCAATTGATACATAAAGATACATGAAATATTAATTTATATTATATATATATATATATATATATATATATATATATATATATATATATATATATATATATATAGATAGATAGATAGATAGATAGATAGATAGATAGATAGAGAGAGAGAGAGAGATAAAACTAGTACTAGATACGTATAACAGTGAAATTAATGCTAGATACTTTGACACATATGAATGTACTTGTATGACACTCGTGTATCTAAGTGTTTAGTTTGTTGGATACATCGTATATTGATAATAGATACGTCAAATTAATGAATTTATTTTTTTAAGAGTAATAATTTGAAATTAATCAAATTACATTACTAAGATATACATGTTTTTATCTTATATTAATAATATTAGTGAATTTACTATTTCAAAGAATAATAAAATAAAATTAATTATCTATGTATTTTGAAAATTCTCAATAACTCCTCTAATTAAGGCAATCAGTTACAACCAATTCATTTAAATAAATAAATTTTGTACTTTAATTTTAAAATTCCACAGATAAATGTATCTCACATTCAGATTCATGTATCTTAAGCATAAAATATTATAGAGAAAGTATTATTTGAAACTATTGAAAATCTTCATAATTAAGAACTAAATTAGGAAAATTTATGTGGTTTACCCTAAATTAAAATCACTAAGCTAATATATATTGGGCTCGACTTGCCCCGATTTTTATATCTAATAATATAAGAAATGTTAAAAATAAAATAGACATAACTATCATTCGAAGTTAAGGAGAGTTTGATTTTTAATTCAAAATTGAGGGATATAAAAAGTAATTCAAAGTGAAAACAACGGCAACAATGAACTGATGAAAAAATGTAAAAAATATAGACCGTCAAGAACAAGGTATTAATTTTCTTGAGAAATTTGTTGGGTACTTGGGTACGTAAGAATTAGAGCTTCATGTAGAATTTTACAATTGCAAATTAAGACGGTGATAAATTAAGTGACAAAACTAACAACAAAAATATAATATTATTATATAGTTTAGCCAACCGACATACATATGAAAAACTAATAAAAAAAATATGTTCAAACTTTTGAGAGAAAAATCTCCCATAGACAAAACTCTTAAATGTCTACACTGTGGATGCTCTTGTGTTCTTGGTATACGAATAGGAGACTTCAGGTTACAGAGGTTCAAACTTTTCTTCTAAGAAAAATATATTTTCTTTTCGAAAAAATAAAAGCATTTATGGTAATACTTTGAGTTTCCTTCCGATAAAGATTAAGAGAGTGTTTTGATTGACTTATAAGTTAGTGAAACCTAATTTTAAGTTAGTTTTTAACTTTCTGAAATATTTGACAAATATAAAAATAGCTTAAAATAAGTCAGAAAATGACTTACAGTTAATTAGGAAGCGTTTGACAAGGTTATAAATATCTTGACTAGCGTTTGACCATAAATTTTCAAATATTCTTGGCAAATATTATTTGAGTGAAAATTTGGGTGAAAATTGACTATGTGTTTGACCATAGTATTTGGAAAAATGTGTTTCATTTTTTTAGAAAGATGATTTATATTAATAAGTTTTAAAAACTATCAAAACTAACCATAAGTTTGTATTACAATTCAATTGGATCTTCTTTGCAACAAATAACAAGTAGTCCCATGACACTAGAGCAATGTAATAATTTGGAGTGCGTGCAACAAACATCATTCCACACATCTTGAAGTAGACAAATCACATGACTTTTTTACCCTGAGCCGATTGTTCATCATTTTCATATACAACCATATCATCACTTTCATATTACTGAATATTTCATCACTACTTTGGCGTTCACGTAAAAAATTATATAATATTGAGAGTGTTTTTGTAAAAGATAAAAGTTTAGTGTAAATTTTCAATTTTTAGAAGATTCCAAATAATGAGATTGACTCAAATACTAGTTAAATTGGAATATTTATCAAATAACTACAAATTGTATGGACAAATACTATTTACCAATTTTTTCCTCACATATTATTAGGAAAATCTATGGTCAAACACTCTTAAAATAAGTTCAAAATGACCTAAATTAAATCAAACCAAAAATACTATTTTAAAGGCAATTCAAATGGACTCCAAAAATCAAATATGGTAAGAAAATCAACCAAAACCTAGCAAAATCCTGCTAAAGGATTTGTTGAGAAAGTGAATATTTGTTTAAAAGAGAGGCTGGAAATGCGGTTTTCAAGAAAACAAGAATTGATCCTTGTGTGATGTTTCAAAGTATTTCTCTTGTTTAACCTCTATGAATTAAGAAGAATTAGCGGTTGAGTAATTTTCAACTCTTATTCTCAGATCCTCATTTTATGACATAAGCGGATGAAAAGATATCCAATTGGTGGTAAAGCTTTTTTCACTGCTCGCAAAACTATTGAATTAGTTAAACGATCGAAAAAAGATGAGGTCAATTTTCTATGAATGAAAGAAGGACAAAATGTTAATGAAAACTCTCCAAGCTGTGCTTGCAAGAAACAGAGGAAATAAACTGGAAGAGCTTAAGATGTTGGAGAATGTTCATTCCAAAAAGCAACGGGTATAACCTAATCTCTTACTTGCTTATTTCTCAAGTACTTATGACTGTTACTTTGTTTTCTCTGTTGCTGCTTTTTATATAGTAAATGGTTAGTGAACGATTTGTATTTGGAATACCTTCTAGTTATAATGTTTTGATTTGATTTATCTTTTTCCATATAAAACTTAGTATTATTCAATTCAAGGTTAGGTTTGATTTATTTTTTCCATAGAAAACTCAACATTATTCAATACAATGTTGGTTCTCATTTTCTTTTTCCGCATAACTAATACCTATATAAGGTATACATTGTGTTACGCGGGATAGTGTATGGAATAAGTAAGAACCCTTCATGAATAATCCGTGATCCCTGCATAACTTGCTTCTAAACCAAGTAATCCTTTAAATAGTTGACTATTTTTGTGGCTTATTATTATGAAATTCTGTGTTGTCCTATTAAGAATGCCATGGATAGCCTTTGAATTTTTGTTTCAAACCTGTCTCTGCAGCTACTATTGCCATGATGAAGGTGGTGATCCCTATTAGGGCATACCATAGAGCCACCTAAACACTGTCGATGTTCGCGCCCTAGGGACTAAGATGGTCAAAAAGAACAATAACCACTAGCAAACATAAAAAGGTCATCATGGTAATAGCGATTATTGAAATGATAGAGCAGTTACATATATTGCGTATATAGATCTTTCAATGACTCATTAACTTTGAATTCTGAATATAACTTTATACACTGTGATAGAACATTTATGGATGGGGAAAGTAAACAACAATATTCCTTATTTCCCGTGTCCTAGTGAAGGTATCACTATCCATATTCAAGCCGGGATGTAATAAGTATGCATTAAGCAAGTGAGAAGTAGTGAATTGATGTGGAGGCAAAAGGCTTATTTCAAGTACTTAATAAAAACAGATTTATAAGAAATTTTTTTAAAAAAATACCCTTTATGTTTGTGATCTTATATATATCATTTGTTTACATTTCAACTTGTTAGATACCCCATCAATATCATTTGTATCAAATACACCACACCCACTAACCATTTTCCACCATGGAAGAATTACTGTAGGAGTATAGGTTGTTGGATATAATTTCTTCATGGGAGAATGCTTCAAATTATTACTGAGGGTACACATAAACAAATTTTATAGTTTAGGAGTAACGATATAATTTGAATCTTTCTTGGCGTATATAACTCCATCTCAAATTATCTATTGTGTTTCTCTTTTACACGCCTCTTAAGAAAACACTAGTTAAGAAGTGTTTTTGACTATTTTACGCTCATTTATGTCTTATGATATAATTTCTCTTCATTAAATATTTATTGGTGTTGGTAGTCTTCAAGAAACCTATAGTCTATGACCAAGTTTATCAAATTGTTCGTGGTGATTTTACTTGTTAGAATGATTTATATCCTGGTTGCACTGTTCATCTATGTCTATTTTCCTACTTATAAGCCTGTTGAATGTATTTCGTTCTCAAGGATTACATTTCATACAGCTTCCACTTCTTCTTTCGTTGACACAAGCATATCAATTATCTTACTATTTTTTATTTTCTGTAATTAACAGGCAGCAATGGCTTGTCGACCTTTCCTCCTGTTAGTTTTCCTTTTCCTTCTATGATGTGAGCTCTTCAAGTGGACGAAAAGATACAAGGTCTGCTTATCATTTTCCAAATGGTGTTAACGCTTCTTTTTTACCAATATTAAAGATGAATAGTCTGTGAAACCATCAACGAAAGATGATATAGATTTCTTGGATAGCATTGTACAGATCAAAGAAGCAGAGACACGAATGATTCAGAGTCTTGCAAATGATGCACTAGGAGAGGTAGGGAGTTTGAAGCGCCTGGCTAGGCGGAAGAGATAGACACTTGAGAAAAAGTATTCTGAATGACCCTCCAAACTGTGCTTACTAGAAACTGAGAAAAGGAGTTGAAAGAGCTCAAGAGGTTGGGGAATATATATTGCGATTACAGCGAATGAAAATGCAATTGCATAGGGAAATTTCAGGCTTGTTAAGTAGAAAGGAAGCAGCAAACAACTACTGGTATAACCTAATCTCTTCTTTGACTATTTCTCAAGTAACTGTGACAACTACTTACTTTTATTGCAAGTTTTTTAAAAATAAAACTAAATTTCATTGATTTAAATGGTAATAGGTCTTTGGAATACCTTCAAGTTCATTCATTGATGCATCGTTTAGCTCTAGTTTTCTTTTCCGCATGACTTATACCTAAATAAGGTATGCTCGAATATATAAAGTATATTATATTTTATGGATAGCCTTTGGCACAGATGGAGTCCTGATGTTCAGCCACAGATCACCTATGGCTAAAGAGGCAGATTCAAAATTTGAGGTTTATGAATTCTAGAGTTTGTTGAGCATACATATTTAGGGAATTTCTCAGAAAATATGTAGGGTTCAGATGGAAGATATTGGGTTTTTTCAAGCATATACTTCTCGATCTAGTTTTGACCTTGACTCGAATGGAGTATAAGAAAGAAAGAATAGTTTTAAAATTTGTGGTCTAAAACAAACCATAGTTTTTTTTTTGTGACTTCAATAATAACCGCCTATGTTGGTACTTGTTTGTAGAAAAATGCATGTTTCATTTGTCCGAGCTCGAAACTTGATTACGTTATGATTTACTATACCCTCTGTGGTTTCCTAAGTACCTAATAAATATTCTCTTGTAATTATTCTTTGAACTTCAGTTAAGCTAGTGTGTGATTTGAACATGTACATATCACTTGTTCTGTTAATGGTAAAATATATTGACTTGATAATCTAATAAAGAGAGTGGCGAGAATTCATACATCCTTGTCTAGTGAAGGAGCTAATCAACTATATGAGAGAGATAGAATTTTTCTTTTATGCTTTGTCATAGAGAGAGAGACAGAGAGAGATAGAGAGAGAGCGGGAGGGGGAGGGGGAGAGGGAGAGGGGAAAGGGAGAGGGAGAGGGAGGGAGGGAGGGAGGGAGGGAGGGAGAGAGAGAGAGG